GGCATTTCTCTCATGTACTTAAATGATATTGGAATCTGTCCTAACATATGTAGCCTTGGAACATTTTAATATATGATACACATTTCACTATAACAAGACAGGATTTTAATAGTCTTATTTTATGCATAGATTTATTAGATAAGAACAAAAAAATAATGCCAGAAATGAACAAATGAACCCACCAAAACTATTGACCAAGATCTGCCATCATTGCATAGATAAAATCCTACTGAAGATATTGGACATGTTTATCTGCCAGAAACTGAGTCAACTAACACCATGCTTTGAATGAATGAAATCTGTGAAACAATGCACAGAGGCTGGGTGATGGGCAGCGCCAATCTCCTTGACTGGCTTCATTTAAGCTAAATCTCCATCCCTTTATGTAGTGAATATAGCAGATACAACAGGTGCTGTAGTGAGTATAATAAAACACCATCAAATTTGAATAAACAATTCCAACTCAATGAATATTCATGTACCTGTTACATGTGTTTTCTAGAGCTGGACATGTGCAAGGGATAAATATCAGCAGGATGCTTCAGCAGCTGCTATGCTGAAGAGTCTTAGAATAATTGGAAGGACAGCAGACAGATGTGCTTCAACTTCATTTTAGATGATGCAACATAATTGTGGAGTATTTGGAAAGAATTGTGGTTGACAGACCTGCTGCATGGGAATCAGAGACAGGGCAGACTTGTTGTTTGTGGTTATTTTTCCTTTTTTTTGAGAAAAGATGTCAGGACCACAAATAGTGATGTTCCCTGAATGCCAGAGGAGAGTCTACATTGTGCATGCAATTTGAAAAGGACTACTCATAAAAATCAGCCAAGTGCATGCATGAACATTAAGCTCTCTGTGGCATTATCTTGGTATCTAAAGGATGATGGAATATTTTCTAGGGAATATACATAAGAAAAGGCTCATATTCCTTCATTTAGATTTATGTTATAACTTCTCAGGGCAGGAATAAAAAAAAAAGAACTTCAGGCAACTTTTTTATGTCCTTTCAGGGGCATGCTGGTATATATTTTAAAAGGAAAATACTGGTTACTTCATAAATCTTTCATATGCCTAACCAAATTGCCCACTTGAACATGGATTGCTGTCCTCTCACTACCTCCTTAGAAAACTGAGATATTCAAAAGATATTCTTAATGAAAAAACTATAACTTTTTAAAAGTTCATAAAAAGATAAATGTATGTATGAATATAGAATATTATGTGTATATGTGGAAGAGTGCTGCTAAGTATTTATCTTTGAGAGGGTGAAATGCAAATATATACTTTTAAACTTAATTGGCATCATTGACATCTTCTCCATTATGTTTTTAAGTCTAGTCAATGAACAAAACAATCAGTCAAGCCGTGATTTATAGTGTCTGTTGATTTCTGAAGTGGAAATGCTCACACTGAAAATTTAACAATCAACCCTCAAAAGCCAGTTAGAGTTGGCTCCAACACACCACAGTGTACATGTATAGTTATCTATACACACATAAAGAATGAAACCTCAGGTTTTAGAGAAGTCTTTGGGAAGAAGTTATTTTTGATATCCAGAAGTTTCAGATACCTGAGCATTTATCTTTCAAGAGCAACATTAAAACTTTCAAATGTTTTAGATGGAAATCTTTCTAAAATGATTAAAAAAAAACTCTTACATTTTTATAGCTCACAAAGCCCTGTCATGGATATTATCTCATTTGACCATTACAACAATCTTGTGAGGCTGGGCAAGGCAGATTTTTTTCATTACGCATATATAAAATTATTTTCATTTTATTTTTGGGCATCTGAAGCAGAATGGTTTAGGTTAGGTATTCTTAGCCTTTTTTGTATGTGCCACAGATCCCACCAGCAGACTGGTGAAGCATATGGATCCCTTCTTAGAATGTTTTAAAATGAATAAAAACAAAATATATAGGATTACAAATGAAACTAATTATATTGAAATATAGTTATTATAAATACATATATGTATACATGTATTATATAAGTAAAATATATTATATTATTTATATGATGTATCATATATAACATACATACATATACATACATATATATGTATTTGTGTGTATGTATATATAAGTTCACAGGTCCCAGGTGAAGAATCTTTGGTCAGTTGATAAAATGGAGAACTTGGCCACAGGAATGTCTGGGTTCAAATCCTACCTGTAACACATTCTAGCCATGGGGATATGGGCAAGTTGTTTCACCATTTAATGCATCAGGAAACTCTCTAAGATGACAAATTGCCCGTCTAAATTGATGTAAGGAGTTCCCCATATTGATGTTGTTATATCCCATAATGTTGTTATTCCCCATATTGACCTGTTATATCAGGTCCAACATGCCCCCCCCTCAAAAAAAAAGAGGCAACTTATTTTGGGATAGCTCTAATTGTTAAGAAATTTTTCCTTACATCAAACCCAAATATGAATCTCTGCAACTCGAATCTAGTTCTGCCCTCTAAGGACAAATATAGTAAGTTTAACTTTTCTTCCCCATGACATCCCTGAATATTTGAAGATGTTTATCACTGTCTTCACTAGGTCTTCTCATCTCCAGGTGCATCCTCCTCAGTTCTTTCAACCAATCCTCATCTAGCATAAACTTGAGGCTTTTTATCATCTTAGTCACCCTCCTTGTTAATATCCTTCCTAAAATGTGATTCCTAGAGTTGAACACAATTCCCCAGAGGTGGTTTGAGGGGGGGGCACCATAAAATAGACCTGTTTCCTGTCATTTTCTGTATATTATGCCATTCTAACTGCAATCAGTTTATAAGTCTTCTAAATGCCATGTTGCTTTGTTACTTATTTTGAGCTTCTGTTCAAACTTTCAGATCTTTTTCATTGGCACTGTCTCCCTAATCTGGTTTTCACTTCAAATCTTTGTGTCTTCTGCATGTTCTCCTCTTTATGTGTGCCTTGCATATATGTAGGTATTCAATACTTTTTTTTTTTTGGTTAAAGGGGGCTCAGCAGATCTTGATTCTTCATTATCTTAATAAACCCACCACAACCATAAAGCTCATCCTGGTAATTACAAAAGAGGAAGCCACTTTATTGGCCATAGTATCCACCTTGGCTTGAGAAACAGCCGGGACCTGGAATTTACTTATCTTCTTCCACCTTCCCTTCTGCTCATCTGATTGTCTCCTCAATTCTACTTTAGTTGATGAGAAATAGTGTCATTTTAGTTATGATTCACCTTTTCCTCAAACAACCTTCCATCTTCCTCACATGACTGTTTCTTCCCCCTGTCTGTTTATATGGTGATCTCACCATGCAGAGACTGCATCTAATTCAGTGATAAATAACCCATAATAGCTACCACCACCACAACAGACTGCAGCAGGCTTTTCCAAGGCTTGTTCATTCTATTTTTACTCCTAGCTAGCTTCATGAAGGAGCTTATTAATGCAATTCACATTTGAGTGTGAGGCCCTGAAAATGCTTCCTCAAGGGTTAATTCCTTAGGGCAACATATTATGAATTCTGTCCCCTGCTCAATGTGCTTAGAACAATCTATGAACTATATCCTCTCTGTGCACAGCAGCTAAGAAAAATGTCTCATCTTTTCATATTGATTACCCTGTATGAAACACGTTCACAGGTAGGGTTAGCCTCATCTGTCATTTATACCCAGGCAAGTTCTCTCCTACCTGATACAAAATGGTGTCTTTTATGTGTAGCTCGGTGCACATTTAAAGATTTTCATGACTACTGTTCCTGTTGCTTTAATGACCAAACAACAAACGATAAGCCGTGCTTGGGCTTTCGGAGAAGCTGCGCAAATATATTAAACGGGCAACTAGGTACATGACAACCTCTTAGAGCTTGTTTCTTCATTTGTAAGGTTCCTGCGGTACCTCCATTACAGGGTCCTTCTGAAGATCAAATAAGATACGTGTTAGAAGCACTTTGCAAACCTTAAAGAGTCCCCATAAATGTCAGCTATTATTATTATTACAGCCTGGAGAGACGCTGTGATAGAGAGGATTTGATAGGATTTACCGCAGGAAGGGACGTAGGATGCCATTTATACCAAGCCCCTTGTTTCTCTAAAATGATAATTATATTATCATTATTATTCCCTCGCTGTAGCTGGATAACAACGCGTCGCTGAGATTTGTGTGTCTCTCCTTCCAAATCAGTGCTTTCAACTTTGCTTCCTCTCCACCCGTCAAAGACTATTTTCCATCCGACGCCGGCTTAGCACTGCCCACCCACTGCCCATGATCAGGGGGAAGAAGTGGCGAGCAATTAGGGGACATGTGAAGACATCGTGTATGTGTGTGTGTGCGTGTGTGTGTGCGTGTGTGTGTGCGCGCTCGCGTGCAGAAATCTAGGATACATCTGTGACCCAATCCTCTGACAGCTGGTCAGTCAATCCAAAAGGCATTGGCAATGTCCTATATGTAAAGTCCCTGTATGGCCCGGCCAAAGCCTGCGGGCAGCGGGGCTTAAGACCCGCACCCCGTTCTACCCCTTCCCTTGGGCTCCCCCTCCCGCACCAATTCATGCAGGAGACCTGCAGGCGGACGCTCAAATACAGGTGCCCAGGTTCCTAGAGACCCAACCGGGCATGCTCAGTAGCTACCGAAGGGTTGGTGGGTTGCTCTGTTTCTTTTGGGGGTTTTAATTCTTTAAGTGGGGAGATTTTTGAGAGGAGGCTGGCTCCTCGTCTGGCGTCAGCTGCTCCAGCTGCCGCTGCTGCCGGGGAGCTGGGCCGGGCCCAGAAGGGTGGTATGGCTTTGGCCTCACGGAGACAGAGACAGTAAGCGTCGGCCACCCCGGTGCTGCAGAGGGCAGGGGGAGCGCAGGAGCCCGGGAAGCAGCGAGGTAACAGCAGAGGCGGCCCCGCGCTCGCGCCCTCCTTCCCTCCGGGGCGCGCGCGCGTGCGTACACAGCACCCACGCGCTCTCGCGCTCCTCCCCCCCCTCCGGCGCGCGCGCGCGCACTCACCCCACACACGCGCTCTCGCGCTCGCTCTCTCGCTCCCACCCCCATCCACCCACCTCCCCTCCTCCCGCCCGCCCAGCCGCTGCCCGAGCTTCTGTAGTATGGCATCGAGGAGAATGGAGACCAAACCGGTGATAACCTGTCTCAAAACCCTCCTCATCATCTACTCCTTCGTTTTCTGGGTGAGTACCTTCGCCGCGCTCCCTGCCCCAGGCTCAAGGAGAGGGGAAGGGGGGGGCGGGGACTGGGTTGCTCGGACTGTCCGTCTGTCAGTCCGTGTAGGGCTTGGGGATCAGGACGGACGCCGGGGGGTGCGGGGGGGGGATAACGGTGCGCTCCGCGCGGGGGGGTGCTGCCGCTGCTGCTGCACCGGGGGTGGGGGGAGCTTGCAGCCAGCTTGCAGCAGCAGCCTCAGCGGGGAAGGCTGCGCCAGCTCCGGTACCAGCTCCAGCTCCAGCACCCGCGCGGGGGGTGGGTGGCATTTCGGTCGTCCGGTGGCATTGCTGCAGCACCAGCCGTCATGGACACCCGCCTTGTCCAGAGTCCGGGCGCTTGCGGGGGGGGGAGGGTGTGGGGGGTCGGAGCCCGAGAGGAGTGGGAGGTGGTGCAATCTTTTGGGGGTCCCTGCTATTTCCGAGGTTTCTTCTTGCCTCTTTTCTGGGAGGGGGGAAAAAGAGGGAGAGTAAGAGGATGAGATTGACGCCCCCGAAGAAAGTTGCAAGGTTCGGTTTTATCCCCCCTCCCCACTTGACTGTGATCGACACCCACCCGCGTCTCCGCCCCTGCGTTTGCTCCTGTGGGAGCAAATGAACCTGTGGGAGGCAGACCCCACCTCTCCCCCCCCCCCGCAGGAGCTGTTTCCCTGGAGAAGACCCTTCCAGGGAACTAACTGGCTTGGGTATTCCTGGGTATTCTCTATTTCCCTCCCACGGTGTGTGTGGGGGGGGCGACGGGAGAAGAGGGGACATCGTGAGCTGAGCCGGCTGTGGGTGGGAGCCCTGAATCCAGAGTGGGAACCAACCAGCCTTGTGGAGCCCACCTTAGGTCCTGGACAACCAGGGACCCACCGTCTGAGAAGGGGATTTGTTGTTTTTCCAAGAAATGTTTGCAGATGCACGTCGAACATCTTCAGTGACTATAAGCAGTCGCAGTTCCTAGACCGCCCCCCTCCTCCTCTCCACCCCCTCACCACCCCCTCCTCCTGTTTTGCGAATAGCAAATTTCTCCCACCCTCTTTCATGGTCCTTTTCCTTCCTTTCTGAAGAATAAATCTTGTTCCCCAATCAGCTGGTGACAGTGGTGGCTTCTCCACTCCGCTATGGTTGTCGCGAGTGTAATCCGTCCCTTTCCATTCCGGGAGGCCGGGTTTCAGGGTTTAATGCAGAAAGGTGACGTCATACACGGACTCAGCCCGGGTGCTGGGGGTAGGGGCTGGCTTTGGGAAGGTACACCTCCTTTCAGGCTTATTACTGATGGGGGGCGGGAGGAGGGGGTGGGGAGGCTCAGTGGTGGTTAGTTAGAGCTTATGTCTTATCTCATTCCAATCTGCTCATGTGAGAGGTGCAGAGGTGACATTGCAATGAGGCTCTTTTTTTGGGGGGGGGAATTGAGAGAGTAAATAGCTTCGAGTGAGATTTAAAGATTTCGCGTTCCTCATTTGCTGTGGTGCTGAAAGTAATATACTTGAGGTCGTAAACCCACAAACTGGCTACCTAATAATGTGAAAGCCCAATGTTTCATCAGTGGATGCAGATGTAACCCGACCTTTTTCTTTCTGCGATCTGGGTCATTCACTCTTTCAGTGAGCCACCTTGTAAATCCAGACTGCAGAAAAACCTATATTGTCTCAGATTTTCTTAGCTAACATTCAGTGGCCCCCCACCCCCGTCCCCCATTTGCCCTAATTTTGCTTTATGACTGTGCACAAAGATATATCTGACAGATGTAACTCAGTTCTGAATGAAGCAATCCACTTGTAGTGGATGGAAAAAAAATTGTGATCTATAGAAAGAAAAGAGGATTAAAAAACAACAATTAATGTGATTTTAAAAAACCAACAACAATAATTCTGGCTGCCTCAGGAGTCACAAATCTTTCTAGAATAGTAGTCTCTCATTCCTTAGATCAATGACATAAGTAGTATAAAGGTAGCACACGCCAATATGTCTTAGCTGTTTGATGGGGGGGGGGTGTAGATCCTTAATTGGTGCATAGGAAGATGAGCAAAAAACAGGTTTTATTTTACCAGTAAAACCATGTTAGACCAATGTTGATAGCCGTAATAGTACCATTTTATTTAGTTGCTGGAAGTATGGGTTGTTAATTGTTTTAAGTTCATAGCAGCCATTTCCTTGATCTGCTTTGCATTAATTTTTTAAAAATTACTAAAATTCCTTCCTTTTCCCATGTATGCTTTGTTTTCAGATTTGGATGTGATATAATTGATTTAGGTAACTATTTTTACTTCTAGGAAAAATAGAATTTATCATGAGATATTGTGAATAAAGACATCCTTATAGGACTATCTGAATCTTAATCTCTTTTTAACTGTACATATAACCATCTTCCTTCCCCCCTTAATATATCGTGCTCCCCCCCCAAGTTCTTTTATTCCTTTCCTTTTTGGCTCCATATCTTCATTCCCTTTTCCCTTCCTCCTTTTCAGTTCTATGGCAATTATTGTTGTGTAAGCTCTCTCAAATACCATTTTAAGTATAATCTAGAAGATTTTAAGATATTTTAATCAAGAATGAGTTTGTATCCTACAGCCATAGCAAAAGATATTAGGAACTTGATTCAAATGCCTTCAACTCTCTAAAAACAATTAAAAGCCATTTTAAACTAAATCATTGTTATTTCTTATGTTTCTGTGTAAAAATGATTGTCCTAATGATTTTTCTAATAGTGAGTGATTTTTTTTCAGCAGATTTTCAATAATTACTAGGAAGACTTTACATAATTTTATTGATACTCGAATTCGAGATTTTTTGGAAAGGTTTGGTTTGACTGAAATGGATATAACAGAAAATTAATAAAGAATTGTTTTAGAGGGTTTTTTTGTCTTTTTTTTTCCCCTAGAGAAATGTGGTGAAAAGATTGGTTAGGGATTATATCCTTGTGTTGTTTTGGAATGTTTTGATCAAATGATCGCCTTGGTCTTAAAATAATATAGTGACTCTCAGTGGCGTTGGGGAAATTGAGATCAATTTGGGAATTACTCAGAGTAGTCTCCCTTCTACTGTCCCAAAAGATCAGCTTTCAATACACCGAGTCTTCAACAGAATTTTTCTTCAGTGATTGCCCACCTGCTGTCTGCATCTGGCATATTTATAGTGCCAGGCCGTGTAGGAGGTCTGGCAGAGGTGAGCCCACTGTTCCATTTCTTTGGGGTTTTGGATCTGAGCAAAATTTAGCATTCTGCTGCTTCCTCTCAAGTCAGTTACTATAGGGATATTTTTTATTTCTGGAAAAAATGAGGAAAATTCTTGCTGCACTCCCTTTCTGGTACTCATTTCTTCACCATTGTCTTTCAAAAGTCCTCTTCCTTCCAGGTTCAGCTCAGGTGCTCCCTCCCACAAGAACCTGTCTCTGATTCCTTAAGTTTGAAAGTGTTGTCTTCCCTCTCAGAGTTTCAAAGGGCCTTTTGCTCTCTTCTTTGCCCCCTTCATTTCTTACTTTGCCTTATTCTTATCTGTGGTCAGGTCATTTTCTACCACCTCCGTCTTCCCTGAAACACTGTGGGCAGTAGCCTGCCTCTCCTTTTAAAATCTTTATATTTGCAGGCCTGCCACAGTGTGTGAAGTATAATGGTACTTTACAGATAGATGTTTTTGACCTGGGAGGTGGTACCAGACCTAGAGTTGGTGGAGTCCTGGGTTAAGTAGTCCAGTTCTGGCATCCCAGTATACAAATACAACACACTCTTTAGTCACGGGTGTCAGTGAAGCAGGAACTAGACCTGGATAGAGTGTAAAAGGTGAGGCACTTGTGTCTTGTACTGTGAGTATGTTTATTTAGTTTTATAGTTGTTATAGTACAAGAATTGACTCATGATTTTCTTAGGGCTGGTTTTGTGTCAGTAGATAGCTTTGTCTTTCATTCAACTATTCTTCTATGTGACTTAAATCTGGATCAATACCATCAAAATTCTGTGCTCATTTATTCTGCTTTATTTGCAACAAGATGGCATACATTTATTGTCTTAGGTGGTGTGAATAGTTTTCAAAAAGAACAAGGGTAGACAATGAGATCCTCGTATGATGTTTGTGCCGAAGTAGACAAGTTAAATAGTGACAGCCGTCTTTCAGTTTAAATATCTTCCCTTACATGCTGTGTAAGCTGATGATTTATTTAACTTAGGATAATAGCTGTAGAGCTGGAAGGGAACTCGGGGGCCATTGAATTAGACCCCCTCATTTTATACATAAAGAAGATGAGCCCAGAGTAGTGCCTAGAGCTGGGATTTGATTTAAGTTCAAATCCAAAGCCAGTGCTCTTTTCATGGTGCCGTTTGTTTGTATGTCTTTGTTTTGATGTTTACATTGGAGGAAAAACATTCTAATAATAGCTTGTATTTACATACTAACAAATGGCCTATTTTTATGGACTGGTGGTTTATTTAGCATAAGAGCTTCTCCTGATTTATTTCAAATCCTTGAGAGTCAGGAGGGTCTTTAAAAATAGATTCCAATATGGCTGAGGTGACTTCAAGGTGATACTGCTAGCAGTTTAGGGAAGAAGGGTGGACTAGATGATTTGTAATCCTACGATTTAGTGATAATGTTAGTTAAATTAATGATAAATTATATGGATTAGGGTATCCAAGGAATTTTGTGGAAAGCTTCACATAAATAACATACTGAGTAAAATGTTATGCTTTTTACATAAAACTTGTCCTAATTTTTAAGGGAAAACGCCTCAAAAATTCCAAACCTCTCATGCTTAAGAGTGAGGATTATGTTTCCCAGCACATGTGACAAATTTTTAAAATTGGTTAATATTTAAGGTGTTGCTGTTAGGTATTCAAATTAAAAATGACTTAATAGGGGCAGCTAGGTGGCACAGTGGATAGAGCACTGGCCCTGGAGTCAGGAGTTCCTGAGTTCAAATTTGGCCTCAGACACATAACACTCACTAGCTGTGTGACCCTGGGCAAGTCACTTAACTCCAATTGCCTCACCAA